GGGAAGGGTTGTATATGATGGAGGGGAATAAAGGGGGATAAATGGGACAACTGTAATAGCATAATCAATAAAATATATTTTTAAAAAGAATGGTTCTTTAAAAAGATAAACACAATTTACAAATCTTTAGCTATACTAACCAATGAAAAAAGAGTATCCAAATCAACAAAATTGTAAATGAAAGAAATCAAATAGGGGGGACACTCCCAAACTCATTTCATGAGGCCAGCATTACGGTGTCAAAGCCAGTAAAGGGCACTACAAGAAAAAAAAAATATTACAGGCCAATGCAAAAATTCTCAATACAGACAAGCAAGCTGAATTCACCTGCACATTAAAAGGACCATTCATTTACCACGATCAAGAGGGATTTTTATCCCTGGGATGCCAGAATAATTCAACATACATAAATCAATAAGTGTGATACATCACATTAATAGAATGAAAGATTTAAATATTATATCTGAATAGATGCAGAAAAAACATTTGACAAAATTCAATATCTGTTCATGATAAAAACTCTTAAGAAATTAGGTATACAAAGAATGTACCTCAGCATAATCCACACCATATATTACAAGTCCACATCTAACATCACATTCATTGGTAAAAAGTTGAAAGCTTTTTCTCCAAGATCAGGAACAAGAGAAGGGTACCCACTCTCACCACTCCTATTCCACGTAGTACTAGGATTCCTAGCCAGAGTAGTGAGGCAATACAAAAAAAATAAAAGGCATCCAAATTGGAAAGGAAGAAATAAAATTGTCTCTATTTGCAGATGACATGATTTTATGTTTAGAAAAATCCACCAAAAAATTGTTAGAACTAATCCACAAATTCAGTGAAGTTGCAAGATACAAAATTAACATGTAAGAATCAGTAGCATTTCTATATACCAACAATGACCTATCTGAAAAATAAAGAAAATGATCCCATATACAATAGCATCAAAGACAAAATAAAACCTTAGAAATAAATTTAAGTAAGGAGGGAAAGATCTCTGTGCTGAAAACTATAAAACACTGGACAAAGAAAACACACAAAAAAATGGAAAGGCATCCTGTGTTCATGGAGTGGAAGAATTAATACTGTTAAAATGTCTCACCTGGAGCCATCTATAGGTTCAATGCAGTATTCATCAAGAATCCAATAGCATTTTTTCAGAAGCAGAAAAACAACCCTACAATTTGTACGGAACCACAAAAGACCCCAAATAGCCAAAGCAATACTGAGAAAGAACAAAGCAAGAGGTATTATACTTTTTGACTTCAAGCTATCTTATAAAGTTATAGTAATCAAAACAGCATGATAGTGGCATAAAAACAGATCCATAGACCAATGAAACAGAATTGAGAGCCCAGAAATAAACCTACGCATATATAATCAATTAATATTTAACACGGGTGCCAAGAAAACTCAATGGAGAAAAGACAATCTCTTCAATAAATGGCACTGGGAAAATTGGATATTCACATGCAACAGAATGAAACTAGTCCCCTATCTTACACCAGTCACAAAAATTCATCCAAAATGGGTTAAAGACTTAAATGAAGTCCATAACACTCTTAGAAAAAAAAACCTAGGAAAAAAGCTCTTGGACATGGGTCTTGGTCAAGATCTTGGGTCTTGGTGACGCCTAAAGCACAAGCAGCAAAACCAAAAACAAACAAGTGGGGCTTCATGAAACTAAAAACTTTTGCACAGAAAAATAATCAACAAAATGAAAAGATAACCTATGAAATAGGAAAAAATGTTTGCAAATCTTATATCTGATAAGGAGTTAATATCCAAAATGTATAAGGAACTTACACAACTCAATAGCAACCCCTCAATGTTGGGAACCGCCCTGACTTGTATCAGAGGCTGAAACCCCCGCCAAGCTAAGGCTAAGGGAACGCCCTTGGAACCGTAAGCCAGCAAGGAGACAAAAGCTTATCTCCCTGGCAGGAATGCTGCTTCTGCTGCTTTATTCATGACTGAACCCCCAAAAGCTTGGTCGGTTAGCCAAAGACGGGTAAGATTCCCCACGGGGGAACGACCTAAGACAGGCATGATCACTTTGGGAGGCCCCCCAAAAGAAGGACTTTGGGGGGCTGCAGCAAAAGGGGGTGATGGACCCTCGCTCCTCGGCTTTGACATAGCCTGAGTTCTCATCGTCTGGGAGAAAATCTCCTTATCTCTTGGTTACCTAGTTCCCTTGCTCCACCTAAGCCTGAAACAATGACAGGGTGGTACAGCTCGGTACTGAGAAGTGCGGATTCCCCAGGGTGATCAGGCCTAAGAAAGAACATGTAAATTACTGTGAAACCTTCTTTGTTTAAAATACTCTCAGTTGAATAAGAAGGGTCTTAGGAGGAAGTTAGTTTGTTCCTCAGTCTTACAGCTCTTTGACCCCCAACTCAATAGACCGGCAGAGTTCTTTGTTTTCTATAGTTCCTTACTTCCCCTAATGAGTACTGTACTTTACCTGAATTATTATGCAAAATGAGCCTAATAAAAGCAGGTATGGACGGTAAATCAGCGCACTCCCCACTAGGGGGGTGGCCATTTCGTCCCTACTTCCCCACAGAAACTAGTCTGTCTCTGTGCATGTTGTTATTTCTCGCGTGTTTATTGTCGAGCCATCCACAGCGTTCCGTGGTCACTGCTGGCCGGTGACCCACGCGCAACACCTCAAAACAATCAAATTTTAAAAATGGGCATAGGACTTGGAAAGACATGTTTCCAAAGAAGACATACAACAGGTGCACAAATCATTAGGGAAATGCAAATCAAAATCACAGTGAGCTATCACCTCAGACCTATTAGAATGACTATTGTCAAAGACAAAAAATAACAAGTGTTGGCTAGGATGTGGAAAAAGTGAATCCTTGTGCAAATGTAAATTAGTGCAACCACTATAAAAAACAGTATGGAGATTCCTCAAAAAAATAAAAATAGAACTACCATATGATCCAGCAATTCCATTTCTGGGTAAATTTCCAAAGGAAAGAAAAACACTCATCCAAGACATATCTGCATCCCCATGTTCATAACAGCATTATTTATAATAACCAAGACAGGTAAACAGCTTAAGTGTCCATCAATGGAAAAATGCATAAAGAAGCTTTGGAATATTGACAGCCATAAAAATGGAGGAAATCCTGACACTTGCTACAACATGGATGGACCTTTAGGGGATTATGTTAAGTGAAATAACTCAAAGGAAGACAAATATGGTCTTACTTAAATGTGGAATCTTAAAAAAATAACTAACAAAAATAGATCAGCCCTAGCTGGTGTAGCTCAATGGACTGAGTGCCAGTCTGTGAACCAAAGGGTTGCAGGTTCGATTCCTGGTCAGAGCATGTGCTTGGGTTGCAGGCCAGGTCCCCAGTTGGAGCTGTGCAAGAGGCAACTGATCCATGTATCTCTCTTACATTGATGTTTCTCTCCCTCTCTTTTCCCCTCCCTTCCTTTCTCTCTAAAAATAAATAAAATCTTTAAAAAAATAGATCAGGTGTGTGTTACCAGGGGCAGGGGTTTAGGAGTGAAGGGTAGGGGAATGGAAGGAAGGTTGTCAAAAGGTACAAAGTTCCTGTATAAGAAAAATAAGTACTAGGGATGTAAAGTACAACACGATGTCACCAGTAAACATACTGGATTGTATATTCAGAAGTTGCCAAGATAGTAAATCCTGGAAGTTATCATCACATGGAAAAAGTTTTCCCTTCTTTTTAATCTCTATGAGATGATGAATGTTAATTTACTGTGGCAATCACTTCACAATATATGTAAGCCATTGTGCTATATAATTTAAACTTACACAGTGTTGTATGTCCATTGCAATAAAACTTAAAAATAAACAACACAAATTACCATTCTGGAGGTCAGAGGTCCGATACAGTATTTATTGCGCTAAAATGGAGGATCGGGGAGAATCTAGTTCCATCCCATTGCCTTTTCCAGCTTCTAGAGACTGCCTGCATTCCTCGGCTCATGGTCCCTTCTTCCACCCTCAAAGTAAGTGCAACATCTTCTAATCTCAATCTGACTGTTTCGTAGTCATATCTCCTCCTCTGACTCTACCTGCCTTCCTCTTAGAAGGCCGCTTGTGTTTAGATTGGAACCACCCAGGTTATGTCCCCATCTCAAGATCTCTAACTAAATTATATCAGCACTGTCATTTTGCCATGTAATATAACACATTCACAGGTTTTAGGAGTTAGACTGCTGACATTTGGCGGGGAGGGTGTTATTCTGTCTACCACAATGAGCATCTGTTACTTACTTGTACACAGTGATTTGTGTCCTAAACAGCTACCAATGAAGTTTGAACTTTATGCAATTACTCAGTTACTATGCCTCTCTAACTGAAATCTGAACTGTGTTGTAAGGTGCAATATGTTATTTAAGTAAACCATGGTAACTGGAATTTGTGTATAACTGAATGATGCAAAACAAGGCCTGTTTTAAGTCCAGCTGATAGGTCAAAAAAAAGGATGAGAAAATGCATGTGGCTCTACGTGTAGGGCCATGGCTGCAGAAAACGAGGTGGAAGTGACCTACATGTCTGCACTCATGTCTGAAGAACGCTCATAAGTAAACAGTGAGCTTTCTCTCAGGTTGGATCTCAAGGCTACCAGAATACTGACAGCACTACAGCTTGTCCCTCTGAAAAACATGGTGCAGGTGAACATGGAAAAACCTTGAGAAACAATGACAGAACTTCCCTCTTACCTCTGTCGTCTTCTGCCCACTCCCCCTCCCCCCATAAAATATGTCTGAGTATCGTGTGCACTAATATCCAAATACTGACAGTATATCGCACTTATTTACAAAGCAACTGTCTTTTAAAAAATTTCTGACTAATAAACATAAAAGAGCTCTTGATAACTGATTAAGAATATAATTAACATTTCTTATGTGCACAGAGTTAAACAAACTGCAAAATAAGTAAATATGAGACACGAGTGTCTTAGACCAAACACGATTTACAAAACTGAACTGCTGATAGAAAGTTTCTCATAAATACATTTTATTTTGACAGTAAAAAGGTCAGGTATACAGGGATTCTTGAAGTGCAATCTTTTCGGGGGGTCAGTATTCTCACCATGCTACAAACATAGAAAGAGACATAGAGGACTGATAAGAGGGTGTTTTCCTTCTCTGGAAGTATTATATTAAACTGCAATACAAACACCTTATCTTACAGAACAGGATACCTCTTCAAGAGGCGCAGCCTATTTTATAATACCTAAGTATTGTAAATACATTCATTGCATGAATTGGAGAGAGGAAAGGAAGCAGAAACAGCATTTCATGAAAACCCATTCCTTGACTACATCCATATCAAGACTTACCACTTTATAGAATTCATAATTTATTAGCCAATGCTATTTAAAAATACTACTTCAGTAGTCTTAAATTGATATTGGTGAAAAATCACACACAAGGCCTAACCCTGGTGAGGTACATGAAGTAAAATCCTTATCCGTCGGTGGCTCCTGTTGGACCCTGGACAGGGCTGAAAGTACCTCTGAGGCAACTGTTCCATTTTTCGCATGCTCGGTCCAGACAGGTGAGGACCCAACGTGCTAAGTGCATATTTCAAGGATGAGTGCTGAACCTGTTTAGAGCCACAGTAAGCTATGAGAGGCTTTCATAAATACTCTTTGAGAGGGAACATAATCATTAAACTTGGTGCTTTTACCTCAAAAAAGATTTTTTACTCTACAGAGAATAAACTCTCATATACATTTTGAAACTCCTACTATAAATTACTATGCTAAATCTGTTAAGACTTCATGGTTTCTGCTTTCGTGAAGTAGGTGAAGGGGTAATCTCTATTCTTCCCATGTAATTGTTCCCACACAAGGCTTTTAGGAGGCCTTAATCAACTGTATAATTTACACATCGAAGTCCTTCAGTGCTCCCCAGCTACCACCTATTTTCACTTTCACTTTTAGTTTCACAGAAAGTTTTATGGCATTTTCCATTTCATTCTTGACAATCTGAGCAACCTAAGGGCGGAAGAAAGAGGTTAGCAAACTCTCTGCCCAGTGAAAGAATTCTTCCCACCCCACCCACTGAGGCGGCAGACCACACTAGAGCTCTTCACCCGGTGCTTAAAACTTGACATCAGCAAAGAGCCAGGCACCCCAAGTCTGCACTGATCAGCAGGCGCTCTCCCAGTTTCAGCTAGAATACTCAGAGCTTTGAAACCCTTGGGACAAGACTCCAAATTCCCATCTAACTTCTTCCAGACAAAAATCCCTGCACCAGGAATTTCTTTAACAATAGTATGACACTGAGCTCTCTCAGTTCTTTCTATACCCTTAAGGACTCAACCTTTATGTATCTTAGCCTGACCTACAAAGTCTTAACTTTCCATAGAATGGGTGCAAACACTGTAAAAATACCTGAACAACATCCTCTTCTGCCACTTCATATAAGAGTTCATCGTGGAGCTGAAGGATGAAGAAGCCTCCTCTGACTGGGCCAAAGACCCCTGGCAGTTTTCTCTCCGGTAACAATCCTCCTACCCAGTGAAGAAAGCAGCAAACATAAACATGTCACTCTGCCACAGGAGAATGTTGGGTTTGGGGTTTTGTTTTGTTTTGTTTTGTTTTGTTTTGTTTTTTAGAGATCTTGAGAAACTCTGGGAAATTTTAATTAAGAGATTAAAAAACAGCAAATTTGGAACTATCGGGAAAATAACGATTTGCTGTCTGCTACTTAGCCTACTTATCAGGTAGACTAAATCTCCGTCAACTTCCTCCCAGAAAGGAGGAGTCTAACAAAGAGGCCAGTGAATGAAGTGTGACAAAATCTGCTCCAAACTCTAACTTATTTCTCATAAATAACCAACATCTTCTCTTTCCATGGAGTCCCACTGTTCTAAGTAAAAGCACCCGGATAGTATGGGGCCTGATTCCTGCTCCAGCAAAGGGAGCTGGTATTGCAGTTAGGCAATGTTTTATAAGAGGGACACTGCCTGGTGACTTTTTATGGCCAGAAGTGTCAACTGGTGCTTCCCCAGTGAGCACACTCGAGACAAGTACCTGGCCTCAGATCCAAACGTGGACTTCAGAGCCTGAGAGTCCCTTGACATTATATGTAACAGTCCATGTCTGTACATTTTTCTGTGAAAATGATCTATAGCTTTCAATAGATTCTCAAAAACCCATGACTCCACAAATGGTTATAAATCACTGTACTAGACTTAGGTACTATTTCCTAACTAGCTGGGCCTAGTGGTACAGGCTATGTCCCTCTGATCACTAAATAAGGTTCAACATTAAGACCTTTAGAGTAACAACCTTTAATTATTTGCCCATATCTCACACCACTGCTTCCTTTCTGCCATCCAAATTTCCTACTTATCCTCAGGACAGCACAAATATATTCCCATCTCCTTCCGTATCTGGCACTTCCCTGAGAGTTCTTTAGCTGTCACTCTCTGCAGCCCCAGTTTGCTCAGGGGTGGCTGTCACAGGCTAAGAGAACAACTGCAGATGAGTTCGTGGCAAGGTGTTTCCACAGCTGGGCTGCAAAGGCTGTGCATCTGTTTGCCAGTTTGGCTGACATCTGATCTGCCCCGCTGGACCCCCTTATCTCACGGCATCAGCTGTCCAGATGCTCTAGCTTTTCTGTTTTCTGATCACCATAGCTTTGTCCTCTTCACTGCCCTTGTGCACTCGGCTTCTGACCCAGAATGCCATGATCTTCCTGTTCCCTGTGCAGTCTGCTGCCTCAGGCTCAGCTCCCTTTGATCGCACTGACCTACTGCTACCTTAAGCTGTCATGTCACCATGAAGTCATCCTCAGGGACATATCTACATTGTCTTCCACTCATTCTAAAGGTTGTTATTGTCTACATCCTCATTTTGACACTGCATTACTCTGCTGTGAAGAGTTATGCAACTATTCAAAGTCAGGTATCGTATCTTCCTTTCCTTAGTAGATTTTAAATTTAAACATTGGCTGATAACTTTTACCTCTAAACCCTTCAAAGCACACAGGCACACAATAGTACTATTCCCCAAATAAGCTTGATCACCACACTTTATCTATCTATCTATCTGTCTATCTATCTATCTATCTATCTATCTATCTATAAAACAAGAAATAATCTATCCAAGCAACAAGGAGAGGACTTTTAGGGAAAGTATTTTAAGAACAAGAGCAAGAAAAGGCGACAATATTGACAAAGAAATGTATGTGATAAGGAAGTCAACTTAGTATTTATTGCAGACTTCAGAGAACACAGAATGCCGTGAATAGGTAAAATTGAGCATGTTCTTAAGTTATGTTATGTTATGTTATGTTATGTTATGTTCTGAGGACCACAGGAGATCCCTAAGTCCCTTTCAAAGCATATGCAAAGTCAAATTATTTTCTTAACAACATGCAGAGGTTGTTTTCCTTTTTTGGTCTCATTTGTCAGTAAGTATACAGAAAGGTGTTCAGCTATCCTGGTTTTAGCACTGCAAGTACCGCATCCTGAGGAACCCACCAGTCTTCCACAAGCGGGGGTATTTATCACTCTAGACTGTACATTTAGGGTTTTTCAGAGGTTACAGGACATGTAACATTGCAACACACTGAATGCAGAAATAGGAGAGAGAATCCAACTATCTTCTCATAAACATTAAAGAGATCATCAGAAAGGTAAAATAGAGCCACTTATTACCAAACTTCTTTTGTTCTAAAAAAATGTAGTTATTAATATTTTAGCCCTGACTGGTGTGGCTCAGTTGGTTAGGCATCACCCCGCAGAGCGCAAGGTCACCAGTTCAATGCCCAGTCAGGGCACATGGCTGGGTTATGGGTTCAGGCCCCACGAGAGACAACCAAATGATATTTCTCTTTCGTATCAATGTTTTTCTCCCTCTCTTTCTTCCTCCCTTCCCCTCTCTCTAAAAATAAGTGAAATATTTAAATAATATAGTCATTTTAATAAAAATATGTTACTTATGTTAACATATGTTGAGTTTATTACTTTTTAAATGTTAATAAACATTTTTAAATTCCTTATTTTTTAAATTTCTAATATGGTAAATATTGGTAGGTAGAACTCACAGGAACAAAAACTCGTTGGCATCTCAATAATTCTGAATGTAAAGACAAATTGATATCAAAATGTTAGAAAATTGTTGAGAATACATAAAATACATCCCCTTTTCATTCCTGATGCAATTAATCTCATCATGCTATAGCAGGAGTCTCACTTATGAACAAACCTGTTCTGTCACTTTGAAGTGCACTTTCCCGATGACCATGGGATTTGAAGGTTGAGGGGAAGGTCTCTAATTGCTTCTGAATGTTAACTGTGGCTATTTTGACAATATCAGCTGCTGAACCTTGGACTGTTGTGTTGATAGCCTGACGCTCAGCCTATGAAAAACAATAATAACAGGTGTTCCATCAGATATAGAATACGGTTTCATACCCACTATCCAACCAGAAATCTGGACCAAGATTGACCCAGGATATCAACTGTTAAGCAGCATTGTTAGAATAACAACTAAAATGATCCAGGCCCTGAGATTCTGAGCTGTCATCCACATGATAAATAGAAATTGCTTCAATTTATAAATATTCAACACTCAGGAACCAAAACCTGTATCACACTTAAGATATGTTTAAGATAGCTCAAAATTATTTTATTTTATAAACATATATCATCAATGTTCTAAAATTCACTCTAAAGCAGGGGTGTCAAACTCATTTTCACTAGAGGCCACATTAGCCTTGAGGTTGCCTTCAAAGAGCCAAATGTAATTTTAGGACTGTGTAAATGTAACTACTCCTTAACTAGGGGCAAGGAGCTTGGAGCTGCCTCTGGGTAGAAACAAGGTGCAGGCTGGATAAAACAAGGTAGAGGGCCGGATTCAGCCCCAAGGCCTTGTGCTTGCCACCTGGGCTCTAAAGGATCTATTCCTCAAAATATAACTATTATCCTAAATAGATATAAGTAGATTCTTTGTGATGTGGGTTGAAATGTTCCAAGCACATCTTCCATATATGAGTGACCTCTTAGTCCCAGCATTGAGTTTGCTGCAGGCAAGTCTGGGGCCCTCAGGTATGAATCAGAGCTCTTGATAGGCTGCCAGCACTGATCATTAGCTGCTGGAGAAAATACAGATCCTAGCTCCCTAGGTATTAAGTTAGCACTTCCCTAATACTATTGTCATGAACTTCTTGGCTCGCAACCATAGCCACTAAAAGTGATTATCCTGAGTCAGTAGGGGTGGGGTCTGGGTGAAGATGCAAGGTGCAACCTGTCCATGAATATTGTTCCTGTCGTCCCAAAAGTTCTCAGAAGGGATCTATGTAACTTGAGAGGTGTTCTCTGGTTCCCTGTTTCCTGAGTGGACCTAACTCCTAGAATACCTGCTAAAGAGATAGATTTTTTTAAAACAACTTCTTTAAATTTTATTTTCACTAGCAACAAAACCATAGATTGGAATATTTACTATTGTTAAACTGTTCATACTACCCAAAGCAATTTACAGATTCAGTATTTTGTGAACCCAATGGCATTTTTTAAAGAAATACAAAATATCATTATCAATTTATATGATATCTCAACAGACCTTGAGGAGCCAAAAGAATCTTCCAAACTAGCAGGTAACTGGCTTGCATTTCATGATTTCAAAACACATTACAAAGCTAAAGTTAAAATAGAGTGGCATTAGCATAAAGACAGAGATATAGATCAATGGGACAGAATAAAGACAGCATGAATAAACCCTTGTGTTTATGGTCAAATGATCTTCAACAAGGGTAACAAGACCAATCAATGGAGAAAAGACAAACTTTCACAAAAGGTGTTGAGAAAACAGGATATTCACATGTAAAAGAATTTTACACCACATGCAAAATTAATTCAAAGTGGCTTAAAGATTTAAATGGAAGACCCAAAACTGTAACACTCACTTGAGATAACACAAAGGAAAAGCTTCCCGACATTGGATCTGGCACTAAATCTTTGGATGTGATCTCAAAAGCTCAGGAAACAAAGCAAAATAGAAAATGAAACTACATCAAGCTTCAAAATTAAGTCATCAAAAGAAACAATCCACTGAGTTAAAAGAAAATCTATAAACCCTGGCTGGCGTAGCTCAGTGGATTGAGCTTGGACTGCGAACCAAAGTATCACAGGTTCAATTCCCAGCCAGGGTACATGCCTGGGTTGCAGGCCATGACCCCCAGCAACCGCACATTGATGTTTCTCTATTTCCCACCCTTCCCTCTCTAAAAAATAAATAAATAAAATCTTTTAAAAATAATTTTAAAAAAAGAAAACCTATAGAATGACGAAAAGTATTTGCAAATTACTAATATCAGTTAAAGGGTAAACATCTTAGGTATATAAAGAAACTCTAAAATTTAAAACAAAAAAAGCCCAAATTAGTTGATTACATAATGATCAAACACTTGAACAGACATTTCTCTAAATAAAACATAAAAATGGACAATAAGATCATAAAAAGATACCCAACATCAGTAATCATTAGAGAAATCAAATCAAAACCACAATGGAGTGTCACCTCACACTGATTAGGATGGCCAGTATTTGGAGCACAGAAAGTAACCTGTGTTGGCACGATTGTGAAAAAATTAGAACCCAAACCCACTGTTGATGGAAATGCAAAATAGTGCAGTTACGGTAGATACCAGTTTGGAGGTTCCTCTAGAAATAAAAAATAAACTTAATATGTGATTGAACAATTTCACTTCTTTTTTTATATTCAAAAAAATAAAATCCTGGCTGGTGTAGCTCAGTGGATTGAGCGTAGGCTGCAAACCAAAGTGTTGCAGGTTCGATTCCCAGTCAGGGTACATGTCTGGGTTGCAGGTCATAACCCCCAGCAACCGCACATTGATGTTTCTCTCTGTATCTCCCTCCCTTCCCTCTCTAAAAATAAATAAAATCTTTTTAAAAAAAGAATAAAAAGCAGGGTTTTGAAGGAATATTTGTACATTCATTTTCATTGCAGCATTATTCACAATAGCCAAAAGCTGGAAGCAAGCCAATTGTCCACAGGCAGGTTAACAGAAGAAGAAATTGTGGTATATACATATATAGTGGAATATAAACCTCAGGGATTTTAACCCCTAATTTTTCCGTTAAATTCTTCATTTAATTGTATTTAAAAATGCATAACATTATACTTACCACCTTAACCAACAGCCTGTGTACAGTTTAAGTGGAATATATATTCTCATTGTAAAACAAATCTCTAGAACTTTTTCATCACTAAAACTAAAAATCTATACCCATTAAGAAAAAATACCCCATTTCTTTCTCCCCCAAGTACCCCACAATAACCAATCTTCTTTGTTTATGTAAATTTAAATGCTTGTGAAACATATCATTTCTGTCTTCTTCTTACTAGTTCATTTCACTTAGCATAATATTAGAATTCTCTAGTTTTCTAAGGCTGAGATAGATTTTTTTAATGTACTTTTTTGTATCAAATACTGATGAATCCCCTGTAAACTTACTCAGTTGTCACTTTTAAAGAGCAACTGAATTTCAGAGTCCTCCTGACTCCTCCCCTGGTTGGAACTTTGTGTAGTGTGTTGAATTAATATTACTTGCTGCCTTTCTCTGTGAAGTTACACAGCCCCACCCACCACCACGTAATTTGAAGTGTTTTTCACTCTAAAAGGATGATGGCCTTGTCTTGTCTTGGCCAATGAACTGTGAGTAAAACTGACACATAGCACATGTAGAAGTTTTTAAAACTATCCAACATTATCACAAAGAAAGGTCTACCCAGGTAGGGACTCTTCTATTGCTCTGGATTCCAGAGGGAAGACAATATGGAGTGGAGTGACAGTCAACTGAGAGCCAAGCTATAACAGGATTTAAAACTAGAGCTGCTTATCGTATAAGTCACTGAAGTTTTGGAGTTGTTTTTACTGACATAAGCACACAAAAATATAACTAAGACATATACTACACTCTAATGATATTGTACTTCTCTGATTCTCATCCAAAATAAGAAATAATGGCAGTCTTAGCTATGTGTCCCACAATCTAAGTTTCTCGATGTCCAGGGCTTTTTTATATACAAAGAAAATACAGGTTTCTGATAACAGGAGATTAGGTCATTAGAACCAACACTCTGACTGATAACATGAAAAAGCTGTAATTCTTTTTTGGTTTTTTTGGAAGTGATGCTGTGTAGATAGAATATCTAAAAGTATATACAGCCAAATTATTAGAATATGTAATATTTGCAAGGTTTCTAGGCAAAAGAACAACAATAAAAACAATTATATTTTTATGTGTGAGAAGCCAAGGGTTAGAAAATGTGAAAAAGAAAGAAAAGAATAAAAAAATACCATTTGTGACAGCATCAAAAGTTTTCAATACCTAGCTATAAATCTAATAACAAACATCTAATGAGATACAATCTCTTTCCCAAAACTACACAATGTTATTGAGAAAATCTAACAAGACTCAAGATCTAAATATATGGACAAATAGATCATGTTCCTGGGTTAGAAACTCAAATTTTAAATGTGTCCATTAGTCCCATCTTGATCTATGAACTCAGGCAATAATAATAATATAAAAAATCCAAACATGATTTTGTGTTTGTGTGGAAATTTACAAGCTGCTTCTACAATTTATATAGAAATGCAAAGAATGAAGAATAAGTAAATATTTGTGGGAAAAAAACAAGGTAAGACAACTTACTTTGCCATATATCAAGACACCTTACAAAACTGCATCACTAGGGCAGTGTGGCACTGTCTGAAGATGAGCAAATACAACAGACCAAAATAACTTGTCCAGAAACAGAAACATCCATATTATTTGATTAACAGCAAAGGTGGCACTGCAGGGCAGTGAAGGGAAGGCTCGTTCTTTTCAATAAATAATTTGGGGCAATTGTATATCCATGGGGGAGGTGAGAGACCTTGACCTTCAGTCTCTTGAAACATGAAAATAAATTCCTGATTGGCTGTAGATATAAATATGAAAGGCAAAACAAAAATTTCTAAAATCATTTTCTGATGTTGAAGTACAGAAAACTTCCTTAAACAGATCAAGGAAATCACTCCAATAATATAAAAAGATTGATAAATTCATGTAAGCAAAGGGCTCATGCCTGGAATATATAAAGGACTCGCAAATTGGTTTAAAGGACAGACAAGAAAACAAAAAAGCCATAAGACTTGAACACACCCTTCACAAAAGAAAATTCCAAATGGTCAATAAACATTTTAAAAAGGAGCTCAACATCACTAGTCATCAAGAAAAAGCAAATAAAAATGCAATGAGGTACTATGACACAATTACCAGAATGGCCAAAATTAGAAAGATCAATGATATCAGGAATGTAGATACTCGATCACCAACTTACACCATACAC